CTTGCCCTCTCAATTCTCACAGAGATTAGAGTGTGACCTCTCATATTGGGGGAGGCTAAGATGCTGTGATCATATATGCAACAATAATCCACTGATAGACAAAATATAGAAATTTGTTTCTCTGTCACATAACAGTTCAGAATGAGTCAAGGAATTCATTTCAGCAAGGAATTTTCCTCATGCAGTTGAGAGAACTCAGGCTCTGCCCACCTTCAGCACACAGTTTCCAGGGCTGCTGTGCTCTCTGCCAGCCCAGAAGAAGAATATGTGCAAGAGACAAACCCCTCTACTCAAAAGCTTATGCTCATATTCTTTTGCTGAGAACTAGTCACATAACCCCACCTACTTGCAAAGGGGGACTCAGAAGCACAGACTCTAACTGGGCCACTTCCCAGCCATACTCTGTCACTGTATCTTTTTATGGTCAGCAAGATATTACCTCCATGCCTCTGTGTGTCATTTGTTGTTCTAGACTTCTCATTTAAGCCCTTGCTCTAACAAGCAGATGGGGCTGTCATTGGTCCCAGAGTCTGTTCCATCTCCTCCCCCGGCTACTCCCTTTCCCACCCATGCCCAGCCTTAACACTGCAAAGTGAAGGTCTTGGTCCTCAACCATGAGCCACATCAACCCTTCTCTCTTACTTTCCTTGTATCCCAGGGAAGATATTTCCCTGCTTCTTCCTCATAAAGATGATGCTAGTAACCTTTTTTTCCCAGTAACTTTAAAAGTAGATTGTGATTTGTTAAAGTCACCTTTTAATTTACTGGCTTTTATTTGCTTATCATTTTAATTATTTCTGTTATATTTGGTTAGCCCTTTATACCCACAGGTTCCCCATCATTGAATTCAAATTTTAATTGTGTCTGTTCTGAACATGTACAGACTTACAGACTTTTTTCTTGTCAACCTTCCCTTATACTAAATAATACAGTGTAACAGCTATTTACATGATAGTCACATTGTGTTAAATAGTATAAGTAATCTAGAGTATTTAAGGTATATAAGAGGATTTGCAAAGATAATATGCAAACACTGTACCATTGAATGTAACAGAATTCAGCACCTGCAGATTTTGAACATGAACCACCCCTACCTTGCATATTCAGAGGAATAGCTATACATCCATAAGATGTAATTGTCTTCCTACCAATTTTTACATTAATATTGTATTTTGTTATTGGTGTTTTCATTTGATCTAATGAAATTTGTCTTCACATGTCTAATTATCATTTTGTGTGACTTGCTTTTTTTTAAAAGTCTCTTTCTGTTATTTCTTTTGGGTAAAATCTTAAAACAGGGGGCTGAGTGGCCTTGAGGTATAGTTTAATAAGATCCTAACCAAATCTATTAACAAAAAAGTGAAGCAATATATTTTCAAGGTTAATAACTTTCTTTGTCGTTGCTCTCATGAAAAACACATTCATTGAATTACATTTAATTATTGCAAATGTTCAACAATATTTAAGTTTTGTATTTGTATTTCTGATGATAATGAAAAAAACTCTAAGTTCAAGAGAGCAGGCTGTCAGAAAGTTTGTTCATTAAAGACAAATTAAAACTTTTTGTTTATATGAAATCATAGTATATACCCTAGGAAAATGTCCAAATGCACTATCAATTGAATGAATAAATAGTTTGTTGGTTTGTGGTTGTTTTGTTTAACTAAAAAGGCAATGCCTTCTCTTTTTTTTTTCCTTTTTTAAAAATGTTTACGTTACTAGGATATGAGTGGTGGCAACTACCTGTATGTAATCCAAGTAACTCAAGGAGGCTGGGGTAGGAGGATCACAAGTTCAAGGCCAGCCTCAGCAACTTCCGGAGACCCTGCCTCAAAAAATAAGGAGTAAAGGTGCTAGCTTAATGACAGAGCACCTCTAGGTTCCAGCCCCAATATGACACACACCCACCAAACGTATTAAACAGTCTCACCAGGTTTTTCTGAACCCCCAAATTTATAAATAATTTTATTAGTAAGTTTTCCTCATAATATTAGGATCTTGACTCATACTGGGAGCTAGGACGTCTAAGAACAGCAGAACATTGATTTTTTTTTAATCACAGATACATGTTCTGTTTTTTAGAGGTAAATATTGTATATGTTAAAGAACTTGTGAGTTTTAAATTAACTGATGACTGCATTTGAAAACTGAAGCATGCATACTTTTGAAAGCCTTGTGACATGTGAATAGTTAGTTGTTCATTCAAGGAATATCATCTAGTGACCACTATCTGTATAGTTCCTTTTACCTCTATTCAATTCCATTAACAGGTAAATTGTAACTGGAATTACAAAAATGGAGTATTACTTATAGTTATTATTCCTTTGGAAGATCACAACCATAATGATAGCTGTGAAATAATGAAAAAGAGCAACCTTGACTTAAATAATTTTATTTTTCTGAGGTTTGCAAACCTCATAGAAGAAGAGCCAAATTTAATTTAAATTTTTTGGAGAGGTAATAATCTTGATACTGAAATCCCTGTGCTAGTATAGGAGAGGAAGAAGACCAGGAATTCCTAGATAACTCAGAAGATTGGTCTCGTGGCAGCCATTTGTTTATAAAGATGCATTGCTGGGTATAGTGGTACATCCCTATAATCAGTCTCAGCTACTGGGGAGGCTGAGGTAGGAGAATTTGCAAGTTCGCGGCCAGCCTGGGCAATTTATTGAGACCCTGTCTCAAGATATAAGTAAAAAGGGCTGGGGGTGGGGGTATCAAGCTTCAAGGTGGACTCTGCCTTCTTCAGCCATTTCCTAGGTCCCTAACCAAAAGCAACTTATTTATTTTGGACCTCAGTAAAAAGAAGGGAGTTTACCATGTTATTTGTTTTCAGACTCTACCCCCAGGGAGCACTAGGGTTTCTTGGAAACTTCTCTAGAGTCTTAGTGTAGGTTGAGTTGGAGACCCAACCGGAAAACTTTGATTACTTCCAAGGTCCCCATCCAGCTCTATAAAAGCACATTGTTCTGTTTGTATCCATTTTTTCTTTATTTATTTTTTGGGAAAAGGCTTATAGCAAATCAGGGTAAAGACAACTTTGTAAGTTAAAAGTACTTAGTATTTGGATTTGGAAGGCTAAGTGAATGAACTCAAAGGAGCACCACTTCCCTTTTTAAAAAGGGTGAGGGTGGGGTGGGACGGAAGAAAAGGCAGTGTCCACAGAGGCACTCAAAGGATTTCAGCCCTGGAAGAAAATCCTCATCTTGGACAAAAGCTTGGAACTGGTAGCTGTGAGAGATTTAAAAGAAGTCATGAAAAGTAAAAAGAACATTTTGTCTTTCTCTTTTTTATTTTCAATAATCTCATAAATCAATTTCCTTGTACTTCAGATATAAATAATGTACCCTATTATTTGCTTTGGCCAACTTTTTAAGCTTTCAGAATTCTCTGTACATTAAAGCAAATTAGTATTGTTTATATTTCACAATCCAGTTGTTTCAGCAGTTATTCATGACTATTATTAATTGATTTGTCTACCTAAATAGAAAACTATAAAAACTACTTGATAGTCTGATACTGTCCATGAAATATGCAAACAAACATCTCTATAAGCTAAATATTTAGACCAATATTCTAACTGCTTATAAAGGTCTAATTTTATTTATTTACTTATTTATTTATTTATTTATTTATTACTTTCTCGTTGTTATTACTGATTAGGATGAGAACAAGAGGAAGTAATGGTTATTCTTGGACCCCGCATTCAGCAATTCCTCTGTTTTCTCTCTATAAATGGTTTAATTGGTTAACCACTTCCAGAATCAGTTAGCCATTGGATCCAAACCTTAAGCAAGTCATTTTGACTCTTTGCCATCATTGTCTTATCTAAATGGAAATAATTACATTTCCTGCTCCATAATGTTTCTGTGGGGTTAAATAAATTGTAATATGTGATATTACACATATTACACATATTACAATTTATTTAACCTCATGGTTGACATGGATATTGCATATCTACTATTATTAAGCAGAAAAGCCGAAATTAGTGAAACTTGAACCTTCATGGGAGATAAGAAAGTCTGCTAAGGTAGAGGAAAAGGTATCAATCTGGGGGAACATATTCTGGAACAATTAATCTGACAACAGTCTATGAAAAAAATTAGTACGAAGTGACAGCAGAGTGTCAGGGAGTTAAGATGCTCTAGGCCAGGCAAGAGATGAAAATGTCCTGAACTACCCTGTGGAATTGGATTGGGAGATATATGCAAAGTCAGGCTTTTATTAGGGCAAGAGGAAGAAGACAATACCTTTAAACTCTCAAACTGAATGACTGGCATTATGGGTATTTCATTAATATAAGTACAATCCCAGGATTATTCTTTGATTTCTGAATATTTTCTGTATTTTGAGAAATAAGGAATGCAAAGTTTTAGAGACTAATGAACATTAAAGTTGGTCATATCACATTATACTGTAATATATGTAATAAGTAGCCAGTCATCTTCATCAAGAAATGTGTAGATAACATATCTTTTAAAGAACTTTTCTTCAGTTAAGAAAAACATTTCCTTTTTATCCAGTTATTTGATTTAGATTTCTATATTGTATCAGACCTTAGAGTTTTGTTATTCTTTGATTGTTGTATCCCAAGATTGTTGATATAATGATCTAAGGAACTTAAATATAAAATCTGTTGAATTTTTTGGGGGGAAGGGATATCAGGCATTGAACTCGGGGGCACTTGACTCCTGAGTCACATCCCCAGCCCTATTTTGTATTTTATTTAGAAACAGGATCTCACTAAGTTGCTTAGAGCCTCACCATTGCTGAGGCTGACTTTGAACTTGCAATCCTCCTGTCTCGGCTTCCTGAGTTGCTGGGATTACGGCATGCGCCACTGCACTCGGCAACAAATCTGTTGAAAACTGGGCCATCTCCTTCTGCATTTGAACCCAACATACTATATCTCTAGAAATACACATATATTTATATAGTATTTCTCAGTTGTGAATAATTTTAGTCCATTGTTTGATTAGTATTTTTATTATTTCCAGGTTCGATGGATGATGTACTGGATTGTTTTTGCCCTCTACACTGTGATTGAAACAATAGCAGATCAAACAGTTGCTTGGTGAGTTCTACTGTTGGGGACTACAGACTTATTTTCAGTGTCCTGAGTTTTTGTCCTGCTCCTGCTGTTAACTAAGTGAATTTGATCAACTTACTTCATATCCAACATCTCATTTTCTTCATCTGCTTTCTCCATGAAATCATTACTTTCCACTCCTCAAATAAAGGCAGATCATTCTGTTCCCAAGAATTCCAATGAAATCAAGAAGCTTGGTCTGGTGGCAGCTGCTTATTTAAAAAGATGCAGCTCAATAGTAGAGTGCTTGCCTAGTATGCACAAAGCCCAGGGTTCAACCCCCAGTACTGCCAAAAAAAAATGTGTAGAAAAAGCTTAATGTGAGTATTGAAAGTCTACACATTCCTCGGTTGCACTGTGGCAGACATGCTTTGTTGACTGCACAGTAGTCACTCTTCACTGTCACCTACTTGTCTGCCTGTAAATCAGAAGAACCCAGACTTGTTCAGTTTATCCTAGGTATTGACTCCTTATGGACCATAAGACAGATTAGTTAACTCTAAGAGTGCTTAAAAAAAAAAAAAAAAAATCACCCTAAAGCGCGTTAGAACAACAGACGAGTATTTCTTCCACATGCTGCCTGAGGGCAAATGGTTGGCTGGAGCTTTGCTGGCTCAGCTAAGTTTTAAGTGTCTTCTCATTTCAGGATCAAGGCTGAAGAAGCAGCTGTTCTCATGGTAGAAGGCAAAAGCTTAAAGCAAGAGGTTGAGGACCTTGGGGTGAGAAAGTCAAAGGGTATTGGAAGGTTCTGCTTGCATTTGACATATATCACATTCCCATTCTGTTGGCCAAAGCATGTCATCTGGCTAAACCCACAATCATTGGTTGGGGAAGTGTACTTAGTCTATAGGAAAGGTACTAGGAAATCATGGGGAAAAGGACACGGATGTTAACTGGAATTCCCAGTCTACTATCTGGGGGTAATTCCATTTCCCCTTCAATTGCAAGTGAAATATTGCAGTTCTGGCAAGGTAGACTGGAGAGGAAGTTTTCTTGGAGTTCTGAGAAAGATCAAGAGGTGTGCATATGAGGTCTGCATTGTGCACTTGGAGCATATAGTGTCCTGATGTTTGGAGGTATGTCCTATACTTCTATGGTAACTTAGCTCCACAGACAGAGTGGTTATATGTTACTGCCAGGGCTGGATGGCAGAAGGGGCTGTTAATGCCCTCTCTTGACAGCTACGGTCAGTTTGACAGCTTGCCCATGCTTGCTTCAAAGGAAGAATATTGTACTAGAAGTTGTGACCTTCTGAGGGCATTAGTGCACTCTGGTTAACTCATTTGTCAATTCATCAGTTTGTCAATTCATTTGTCATTCAGTGTGCCCCTGATCACACTACTTTCTACATGTAAAAACTTAACATAGAGACTAAACTTTTAAAAAATATTTTTGTGTTTTCCACATAATAGTTACCCCTCATCCCCACTGGAAATATTTTCTTTTTTTTTTTTTCTTGTTAGGTTTCCTTTGTACTATGAACTGAAGATTGCTTTTGTCATATGGCTGCTCTCTCCCTATACCAAAGGAGCAAGTTTGATATATAGAAAATTCCTTCATCCACTTCTTTCTTCAAAGGAAAGGGTAAGATATATAAATTATTTCCACAAGTCATTTTTTAGAAATGTATATCAACACATGACTTATGATATAAAATTAGTGAAACTGGTACATGGTAAAGAGAAAGTCCTAGTTTGGGGCTTCTTAACAATATTTATAGATAAAACTAACATATATGGTTATTTTGTTTTTGTTTTCCCAGGAGATTGATGATTATATTGTACAAGCAAAGGAACGGGGCTATGAGACCATGGTGAATTTTGGACGGCAAGGTCTAAACCTAGCAGCTACTGCAGCTGTCACTGCAGCGGTGAAGGTAATTTTTCTTTTACCTTTTTATCCAGTGCCCCACATTAAGTCAACAGATAAAGAAAGATGGCTTTTTATTTCATATGATTATAAAATTGTGGCAGAATTTTGCTTTGTGTTTGTTCTAATACTGGAAAGAACACATAGATAATTTTAAAGATAATTTAACACTGTGTTTCTGTTTGCTATTTTGAAATTCTTAGTTGATTCCTAAATGAGAGACAGTTAATTAAAAAAAAATTGAAAATGTCATTTTGTCATAATTTTCCCACTTTATAACCTTGAGACAGTTTGAATAAATCACCTTAAGTAAAGATGACCATTCTTCTTTCTCTGTCTTTGGTGTTCTCTTTCTCTCTCTCTCTCGATGGCAATATCTGGGTAGGATTTCTGGCTTACTTCTGCACCTCTACTTCAATCAATTTGAGGTAACTGATTATTCTAAATAAGGCATGAAAAAATTCTGTTCTTAAAACTTGAAATTTTACTTAGCCAATTACTAATGTCATTTGCTGTGTTTGCAAGCCAAGTTATCAAATGAATGCCTTCTGTGAAAATTTGCATTATGGCTTTTGGATTTTTTTGCATGTAGTAATTGGTGTGGTTTATTTTAAATACTGTAGAGTAATTGATTTTAATATGTGGTATATGGAAAGAAAACAGGCTTTATATCCAGAAAGTGCTGCGTGTGACTTCCTAAGTAATCATAGATAATTTATCTAATTTCTGTCTTCATAAGTTGGTTGTTGTATAGAATGGGGTAATGTATTTACCTGTGAGAGCATATATAAAGATAGAGTACTTTCTTGCACAGTGGGATTCCAGTAAACATTGATATCATGTCTATCTCACTTCAAGTTAAAATTTGAGTTTACTGCTAGTAAGTTAAATTGAGAGTAAATAGTGTTCTGCTTTCAAGTCAGGCTCCATTACTTAACTTAAATGCAAACAACAATGCTGTGGAAAGAAATATTCCAGTTATGTGGTGATTTTTATATCATTGCAATGTGGAAGGGATGTAACACGAGGGTGCTTTCACTTTTCAAAGGGATCTTTGACTCAAAAATCAAAATCAATATAATCAACAGGATAAAAATTTCAAATTTTATATATATATATATATATATATATATATATATATATATAAAAAACAATAATCATTAATAAATTATTATTAATTATAGTATAGTGTATACTATAATCAGTATTGTTTTCAGGTTATTTGGCATTTAAGGGCTTTTTCTTTTATTAAGATAGATTAATAAATAATCATTAGAATAGCAAAAGTTTCAGCTTAAAGGACTATTTCCATTTTTAGAAGTTCAGTTGCTTTATATTTCTTATTTTATGAAAATGCAATCCTTATTTCCTTATCTGCTCAAAAAAAAAAAAAAATCCAGGAAATCCCACATTCAACAACTAGGAATTTTAAAATGAGAAAACAGACACCTGTTTTAGTAATACCTGCTACTCAGAAGGCTGAAGCAGGAGGATCTCAAGTTTTGAGACCAGCATGGACAACTTGGTGAGGCCTGTCTGAAGATACAAAGTAAAAAAAGACAGGGGATGGGATGGGTTTGTGCCTCAGTGGTAGAGCACTTGCCTAGCATGGGTGAGGCACTGGGTTCAATCCCCAGTACTATATAAAAATAAACAAATAAATAAAGGTATTGTATCCATCTACAACTAAAAAAAATTTTAAAAACAAAAAAGACAGGGGATATAACTCAGTGATAGAGCACCCTGGAGTTCCATCCCAGTACCACCAAAACAAAAAAGATTTATATCACATTCAAATGATCTAGAAGAATATTGGCATTAAATTTCTAAATGGTGACATTGGAAAATTGAAAACAGAATGTACCATCCATGATGCCATCATGATATTCACCCTCAAGTTCTGTAATGGTCAAGTTCAAGAGGGCTGGGGATATAGCTCAGTTGGCAGAGTGCTTGTTCACATGCACAAGGCCCTGGCTTCAATCTCTAGCACCACATGCACACATACAAAATTGGCAAATCTTACTGTATGTTAATTGTACATCAATAAAATTGACACAAAAATTGTTGTAAATGAATATACATTTAAGAAAAAAGATCAGTCATATATGAGCTTCTAGTGATTTTTTTTTTTTTTAATTCTACACATACAGAGACACAGAATTTACCTATAATCCTTTGTCAGGGCAGATGTGATCTGTTAAAGACAGAATAATCCACAAAAAGCAAACCATGAAGTATGAAAAACAAATTAGCAGGTTAGCCAACACAGAAGGGAGATGACAAAACTCCCAGGAAGGAACTTTGAAGCAAGTCCAAAGAGCAAACAGCCAACATTGGATGTAATGGATGAAAGGTGCTGCTGGCAAGAGTGTGGAGCTCAAAGAATCTTTTGGAAGAGTGTGGAGCTGAGAGAATCTAATGGGTTTAATACTGCTCAGGGATGTTACTCAAACACATCAGAGTGTATGCTGCGACCACAGCACTTATTATATTATCTTATTTATTATATACAGACAGCTGGTATCTGTGCAATTGCACATCAACCCTGAGCACCAGGAAAAGCGTATTGAGGCAATGTAAAGAGGGAGAATGGAACAACTGAGCACCAACAAAGGGGGGCATAATCATCAACTCAGAGGCAAAAACCAAAAGTTACATAAGAAAGGAAATAATAATAATGGAGCCTTACTTAGCCCACAGTGAATAGCATTTGCATTAATAAGAATAATGAGAATACAGACTAAGGATTTAACAAATGTGATTTTGTTATATTGGGAGGATGAAGGAAGGAGAAAGGGAAGTGGAAAAGAACTAATCCTCATCTATCATAATGGGAAAACAAAGGGTTTGAAATGGCCAGGATGAAAGAAAGAAGGGAACTAAGAACTTGTTGCTGTTCATTTGTAATAAAACTTAACATTATTTGACCTTTCAAACTAAGTATGTATATTTATTTACATCCAAATGAAGATGCTTTCTGAATTTTTCATATTTAAAAGCATGATTTAACATGCTTCTATGGAGAAAAACTGAAAAATTTCAACCTGAAAATTTGTTTAGAAAACAGACATTTTCAGATATCATTTTGGTAAAGATAGAAGCGAATCCCATTTTTCCTACCCACTGTAACATGTAAGTTGAGTCTATAATCTGCTGTTCTGTGAGTCACCTTTGTACACACTGAGAACATTTTGTGAGATACTTATTTTATTTTGATTTACATTTACTGCTACTCAACCCTCTAAGTGGGGAATTAGCAACCTCTATTGTATTATTTCATTCTTATTTTGCCCTCATTTGTTTTTGTGGATTGTTGTTTTTTAAATATTTTTAGTTGTAGTTGGACACAATACCTTTGTTTTATTTATTTATTTTTATGTGGTGCTGAGGATCAAACCCAGTGCCTCACACATGCTAGGCCAGTACTCCACCACTGAGCCACAACCTCAGCCCATTCTCATTTGTTTTTTGTTTTGGTTTGGTTTGGGGTTTTTATTATTATTATTATTTCATATTTTTTAGATATTGATAGACCTTTATTTTATTCATTTATTTATATGAATTTATTTACATGCAGTGCTGAGAATCAAACCCAGTATCTCACACATGCTAGGCAAACATTCTACCACTGAGCCATAACCCCAGCCCCTCATTTGTTTTTATTTCATACTTTGCCTCCATAAATATTTAGCTTTCTACTTATCATTTATTTAATATCTGTTTACTTAATACCTACACCTACCACAAGCTAAATGCCAAGGATGTAGCAGTGAATAAGATAGATTTAGTCCTTTCCCTCACAATTTACTATCTACCTGTAGCTAATGTCTGTATTCACTAACTGAAAATTTTACTCCATCTTTGGTTGCTAAGAGCCCCCTTACCCCTACCCTCCATTATTAAACAGTATCTCACAGAAAGACTTTTCTGCAAAAATACTATGAAAGTAATCCTGTATCTATTTTCTCAAGCTTTGTTTCTTCATCATTGATTTTATTTATATATTTAACACCTTAAAGTCACCTCTCCACCCCCAAAGCCAGAAAGCAGAGAGCATGAAAATCACCCAAGTTACTACTGCAAAACAAATAGAAACACATATCCCATAACTGAAATTTATTTTGACATTGTCCCCACTTGTTCATGATGTCCTGATTCTTTTCTCAACAAGATCCCTGTCGGGGTGGGAGGAGTAGGTAACCTTCACCATTCCCATGATGAATATTAGAGACTCCAAGAATATTAGAGACTCCAACCTGGAGTCATTAAGAAAGTCATTAAGATGGGCTAGGTGGTTCATACCTGAATCCCAGCCACTAAGGAGGCTGAGGCAGGAGGATCACGAGTTTCAGGGAAAATGGACAACTTAGTAAGATCCTACCTCAAAATAAAAGTAAAAAAGGATTGGGGATATAACTTGGTGGTAGAGCTTCCCTTGGTTCAATGTTTTTTTATTTTAAGACAAAGTCTCACTAAATTGCCCAGACTAGCCTTGCGGTCCTCCTGCCTCACACTCCTGAATTACTGGGTTTATAGGCATGCACTACCACACCTGGGTACTATGCTTATTTTAAAGTAGCCAAATTAGTTTCATCTCTGGAGCTGTCATAAAAAAGTATTGTCATAGAAGAATCACTGAACTAGATACTTCGTACTCACAAGTAAATTGAAACTGAAATTAATCGGTCAATTTTATGGAGAAACTACAAGAAAGTCTACAATAATGACTTGAGAATTATTTTAAAATTTTACAATATAAGTTTTTAAAAAATACCTTTCAGGGGACTGGGGTTCTGGCTCAGTGGTAGAGTACTTGCCTGGCATGTGTGAGGCACTGGGTTCAATTCTCAGCACTACATATAAATAAATGAATAAAATAAAGGTCCATCAACAACTAAAAAATAAATAGATTAAAAAAAAATACCTTTCAGGGGTGGAGGTTGTGACTCAATGGTAGAGTGCTTGCCTGGCATGTGTGAGGCACTGCATTTGATCCTCCGCACC